TAATTTTGAGGACAAAAATACATTAATCGAAAAAAATTCATCATGAAATATTTAAAATATAACATCCATTTTTATCAATTCAAAAAATAAATAATGTTATTTATGAGTCAGACATTCTTTGTCATCGTAGTTGAGTATAAAAATATAAGGGTTAATTACAAAAAATAAAATAAAATAAATAAAAATTAAAAATTACAAGATTTCATGCATTTTTCACTTTAAATTTCAGTATTTCAATTTCAACAAATTAAATCTTGAAATTTATCCGTGTTTCAATGTATCCCCTCCATCCATTTTCGCCTGTGTAAGGTAATGGAGGGGATTTAAAGCGAAAAATACTGAGATTTAAAGTGAAGGCACATGAAACTTTGGGATATTTTGTGTGTAATTAACTATTTTTTTTAAAATTAAAATCACTAAAAATAAAAATAAAATAAGGATTAATTACAAAATAAATCCCAAAATTTCAGGTTTTTTTTTTTACTTTAAATCTCAGTATTTGTTACTTTAAACCCCTTCGTTATCTTACACAGACGGAGATGAACAGAGAGGGTAGATTGAAATACAGATGGAACTCTAGGATTGAATTTGTTGAAATTAAAATATTGAGATTTAAAATGAAAAATGCATGAAACCTTGAGTTTTTTTTTTATTTATAATTAATCCATATAATTATATAGTTAAGAATATTCCTCTACATTAATTTACAAAAGATAAAAATTATTTAAAATTATTCTTTAATCAACTAACAAATTAAAATTGTCCAAACTATGATTTAATTATTAATAAATTTATTTATAATTTTATGTTCAATTCACACCGAACTACACCACATACACCCTTAGGGTGTGTTTGGTAACATTTACGTTTTCAGTTTATATTTATAAAAATTTTATAAACTGGTTTTTGTTTATTTTTAAAAAAACATAAACTACAAACGCATTTAGTAATTGACAAAATGTTTAAAAAAATTTTAAAACATAAAAAACAGTGAGAAATGGTAAGTGGTGGCAAGTGACGGCGGAAAACGGTGGTGGAAAGTGGTGACGGTGGGTGGTGGTGGTGGGTGGGTGAGTGACGGTGGCGGGTGGTAGCGAGTGGGTGGTGGTGGTGGTAGTGGTGGTGGTGGCGGGTGGTGGTGGTAAGTGGGTGGCGGATGGCGAGTGGTGGTAAATGGCGGGTGTGGTTGGTGGTGGTGGTGGGTGTGGTGACTGTGGCGGTGGTGGTGGTAGTGAGTGGGTGGTGGTGGTGGTGGTGGTGGTGGTGGTGGTGGTGCGTGGGGGTGGTAGGAAGGTGGTGGGTGGTGGTGGTGGTGATGGTGGCAAGTAGGTACGAGTGGGTGGTAGGTGATGGTGGTGGTGGTGGTGGTGGTGGGTGGTGGTGGTGGGGCGGGTGGGTGGTGGTGGTGGTGGTGGGTGGCTAGTGGTGGCAGGTGTGGATGGTGGTGGTAGTTGGGTGGTGAGCGGTGGTGGCAAGTAGGTGGCGGGTGGTGGTGGCAGGCGGTGGATGTAGTGGCGGATGGATGGCAAGTGGGTGGTGGGTGGTGATGGTCGCGAGGGGTAGATGTGGTGGCGAGTGGGTGGCTGGTGGTGGGTGGGTGATGGTGGCGGGTGGTGGTGGCGGAAGACGGTGGTGGAAAATGTGGCGGGTGGTGGCTAGTGTTGGAAAAAAAAAAAAAAAAACTCAAAACTCAAAACGGAAACATATTTTTTGTGATTTCATTTTTTGGTTAAATTTATAAACTGAGACCACTGATTTATAAATCAAAAATTTTACCAAACAAGTTTTTATTTGAGTTTTTTAAATTTTTGTAAATATAAACAAAAAATTGAAAACGTAAGTGTTACCAAACGACATCTTAGAGTCTGATCGTGCCGAACGCTAAAGTGAATTCAATAAATACTTCATGTGGCACATTAAACCACGTCACTCTATTTGTTTTCAGTTTTTATAATTCAGGTTGTGTTTGATTTATTTTTGATAAACAAATTTTAGAGAAAATTTTTTAAAATTTTGTTTGGTTAAGTGATTTTGGAATAAAATTTTCAAAATCACTTTCTATCTCTTACACATTAATCAATCATTTTTTCTCTCTCATCTCTTCTTTTCAATCATATTTTCTCTCATACATATCTATTCAACTACAACAAAATATCAAATCAGCCAAAACTCCCAAACTCCCATACTCCAAAACTATTTCTAAAATATACAACTAAACAAACCAAAAAAATTTCTAAACTCTCTCACGAAATTTTTTTTAAAAATTTATCTCTCAAAATCAAACCAAACACACCCCACTTTTCAAAAAATTCTACTTTTTCATTTTTCATATTTTTTTTTGTTTTTCCTGAATTTTTTTTAATATTTTAAGCAATTTTTTATTTTTTATTTTTAGACACACCTAACATAAATACATTTAGAAAGTATAATGTATATGAAAAAAATCTTTAAAAAATTCACTAAAAACCAAAAATACCAACAAAAAAAAAAAGAAGTAAAAATTCAATACATTTTTCTTGTTTTAGTATATTTATTAATTTTTTAAAATATACTTTATTAAATAATTTATTATTTAGATATATCTAAGTAAGGTACAATTAAAAAGTAAAAAAAAAATTGCTTAAAATTTAAAAAATATTTACTAAAAATAAAAAAATACGAAAAATAAAAAATTTAATTTTTAAAAAATTAAAACTAAACATACTGATTGGCTTTTGACCAAATGAACGATTTGATTTTCTCAATTTTTTTAATTTTTAACAGGCACTCTCTCGTTTTCTTTTTGTCAAATCAAAGTGGAAATCAAGAAGCAAGAAATGAAAAGGAAAAATTACAATTCAATTGAGATTTTAAAAATTAATTATAAATAATTAAGAAATTTTATAAATACTAATAATTAAAATCATAATTTCTTTATGAATTTGTAATAAATTTTCCTGTTACCACTAAATGATAATTTCTCCAAATACAAAAAAAATAAAAAAAAATAAAAAAAAATAGAGCAAATTGAGCTTTACTGTTTTGGACTTTTTTTTAATTATTTTTCAATATTTTTACTATTTTGTGCTCAATATTTTTATTGTTCATTTTTATAATAAAAATAACGACCTTATTTTCATATTTCATAAATAAAAAATATAATTATTAAATAAAAATTATTTGTTTATGCACAAAGCATAAAAGCATAATTCCATTTTTTAGAAGTGTTGCCTTATTGGTTTGGGTTGAGTGACCTCCATGTACAATTTGTTTGAACTTAGATGAATTTAAAAAATAAAAAAAAATCGGCATCCATCCACTCAAATTATTAAAATTATATATTTTGTGACAAACCATCTAATGTATGGATAGTTTTGTTAATTTTTTCTTTTGACTAAGCCTATTTTGAGAATCGATTAAAAGTTAATTTTTTAACTTTTTTTTAACTTTAAAAAATACAAAAAACTAAATAAGTGACGCAATCAAAAAAAAAAAAAAAAACCAAAATATCAATAAATTAGCTTTTAATTTAGTTGGCAAAAAAGGCATATTATTTTGGTGAAGAAGTTAGACGTGAAAAACAAATTGATTCTTTCTTTTGACTTACTGCAGATTATTTTGGTGTAGAAATTGACACAAAAAACAAATTGATGGGGTTTTATATGTCACGTGATGGTTATTTTATGGGATTTTTATTAATAAATTTATTTTAGAGTTGTTATAATTCATTAAGTCTACAAAGGATTAGTATAGCCTGATTAGTCCCAAGCATTTATTTTTTTATTCCATTAGATCCTTTTTCCTAATTTTATTAATTTTAATGGACTATTATGCTTTTATATATATATATATATATATATATATATTGTTGATACACATAACAATATAGACGTTTCCTTGTTTTTTGTATATTTTGTTTTGGTAGTTTGCTGTATTTACGTTTTTCATTATGATTCTGATTTGGTTGGATACGTTTCAATTTTGCTGGCTCGTTTGAAGGTTGGTGTGTGCTAGGGTTTCATTGTTGTTGTTGTGGCTTGTTCGAACGGTGTTTGGTTGTGACATTGTTTGGAATATAACTGGTTCAAATCAGTCGTTTTCGAGGTAGAGGTTGAGTACAAGATTCGATGATCAAGGTTAGTATCATTTTGGTGTTGAATGCATGTTCAGTTTATGTTTTGATTTATATGATGAATTGGATGCTATGGTGTTTGAAGTATGTAGATCGGATGCTCTGTTTTTATTTGTTTATATGCATTTTGCGTGGCTCTGTGATGGGGAGGTAATATTAAGTGAACAATGTAGATGTTCACATCTCATTGGTAATGATGATGGTGATATTCTGAGTTTGGATTTAACAGTGTAAAATGTACATATAGGCATATACGTTGTGTATGAATGTATGTTCGTTTTGTGTTATTTTTTGATGTATGTGGTAATGCAAGTGCTTTTTTTATGAGTTTTTTATGCTTGCTTAATGTGGATGTGCACATCTTATTAATATGAGGTTATGGAGGGTTGTATGCATGTTGTGTACTGTGACCTGATTCTAGTGGTGTGATTTTGAACTTGTAAAATGTTTTATGTTGTTCAAGGATGGTAGTGGTAGTTTTCACTATGGATTTAGCAGTGGAACTGTACACATAAGCATTTAGTTTGCACAATGTGAATATTCATATAATATGGATTATTGTATGTATTTTTGTTCGTATGGTTGTTACGTGGTTGTTGACTTTTGTTTTGTTGTGTTTTTATAAGAGATGGATATCTTTATGATGTTGGTGTGCACATATTGTGTTATTCGCATTTGGTGGAGTGTTTGCATGAAAAATAAGACGAGTTGTCTACTTATTCTGTTTCATTGTTCTGTCAACTACCTAGGATTAATAAGTGTGATTTGGACAATGACGAAGAATTTCAGAACATGTTATTGCTTTCCAAATCAATGGGGTTACACCATATAGAGGTTATCGTTGATTTGAAAAGTGATATTGGTCAGTCGAGTAATTCTGGGTCGCTACATGTGGGGGGGTGAGGAAGAAATTGATGCACTCCAAAGATTTTGCCACCATAAGGAGACGATGTTGTTGTCAGCTTCTTGGGAAAATGGTATTACGCATGTGGGACAACGGTTTGTTGGAGGTGTACAAGAATTTCGTGATGTTTTATGTAAGTATGCAATCCAATGCGGGTTTCAATTTACGTATGTCAAGAACAAGACAACAAGGGTTACTGCGGTGTGTGTGATGCGCGAGGAGAGATATTGCTTGTGGGCTATACATTGTAGAGCAGAACGAGCAAATGATTTTTTCTACATCAAGAGGTTCAGTGATGTGCATAGTTGTGGTACAGATGTCCGAACATCGAAGAATCTGAGAGTTAGTTCTGATTTGGTGTCGAGTACTATATTTGAAATTATGAGGGACAAGCCGTTGACTCGGCCGTGTGAGGTGGTGACAATTTTGAAGATGGATTATGGGCTAGATGTAAGTTACCACATGGTATGGTTGGGCGTGAAAAAAGTAAAGGCTGTTATTCATGGAGATCACTCATTATTGTTTAACCAGTTGCGGTGGTATTCAGATGCTGTGATGCGTTACAATCCGGGGAGCTATGTCAATATTGACTATGACGTGAGTACTCTACAATTTTGTCGTTTCTTTGTATCATTCGATGCATGTATTTTTTGGTACAATTCTTGTCGCCCTTTGTTATTCCTAGATGAAACATTCCTCAAAGGAAAGTACAAGGGTTAGTTACTTGCAGCAACGACGAAAGATAGAAACAATGGTTATTATTTTCTTTAGCTGTGTATCCATGTAAAATATTCACATTGAGCGACATAGTGTGGATATATGACTGACCATTACACAGTGTGGACATTCACATGCCCTGTTTGCTTTATAGTGTTTTTGTAAACTACTTGGGTTAATATTCACATTGGAATATTGTGATTAGATGTTTAATGGTGTTGTGTTGTAGGTCTATTCCCTGTTGCATTTGTGATTGTTGATTCAGAGACCACGGCCAATTGGTTGTGGTTCTTGCACGAACTTAGGAAGGTTGTTGATGCTAAGCGCTAGATTACTTTTATTTCGGACTGTAATCTTGCTCTGTTAGAAGCAATGCCAAATGTGTTCCCATAGGCTCACCACGGTTATTGCTTAAAACACTTGAAGAACAATTTAAGAGACTGGATGAAGGGAATTGATAATGGATTTAGAGACCACCTGGTTAGTAGTTTGGGTGACTGTGCTTACAAGCCAACTGTGGTAGGGTTCCATGAAAAGCTTGAGAAATTAAAAGAGGAGGGTAAGCAACGAGCACATAATTTTTTCAAGGAGTTAGCACCTGAGCATTGGGCGAATTCATACTTCAGGTAATAGCAGTTTCCTAATGTATTCCATTTATCAAGTTTAGAATGGCAGCGATGTGAAATTTCAGTTATCTTTTGTGGCGATATGAAATTTCATATTCAGTTTCGCTGAAATTAAATTCAGTATTGTACAATGTTTATGATATTGTGCAGGGGTATGCATTATGGGGAGATAACATTCAATGCGGCAGAGTCATTTAATAATTGGATTAAAGAAGTATGCAATCTTCCTATCACTCGGATAGTGGACACAATTCGTACTCAGTGGATGCGACAAATGTCTTGCGCGGCATGACTAAGCCTTGATTTGTTCAACGACAGTAGGTCTTGGCAGGTTAGCAAAGCCAATGAGGATACGTTTGAGGTTAATTCGATACCATCTGCTATAGTTGATATTGCAAGGCATACGTGTTCTTGCTTCAAATGGAAAATCAATGGATTCCCATGTGACCATGCTGTTATTACTATTCAAAAGAGCCACTACAATCTCAATAATTGTGTGGAACATTACTTTCATATGGAAACATATCGTGCAGCCTATTTGGGTGCCATATTCCCAATATTATCAGTGAAAAAGCCGTCTTTTGATCCCACAGACTTCATAATATACCCACCAACTGTGAACAGACCACCTATCAGGTCGAAAAAGAATAGAATCCTATCAATGGAGTGAGAAGCTAAAGCAAATAAGGTGCGGGAGATGTGATAAGTTGGGAAGCCACAATCGAAAATCATGCAAGGAGCCGATATATGGTGTACATTTTTCATTTTAACATTGTGTTTTACGTGGAATTCTTATATTGATTTCTGAAATAAGATTGTGTTGTGTTCACAAATATTGTGTTGCAATAAGATTACGTTGTGTTGGCAAACATAATAATACGTTGGCAAACTTAGTATTTGATTTGTGTTTTTTTTTTTTTTTTTTTTTTTTTTTTTTTTTTTTTTTTTGGGTAGCAAACTGATATGTTGTTGGTGTTTTAATGATGAGTATATGATGTGAACATTCACACTTGAGTAAAAGAATTATATTATGTGAATACTTGCACGTGGGTTAAACTTTTACATTATTGTTGTCAATGTTGACATGAATATAAACTGGGATGTGAACTTTCATATGCAAACAGATTGACATGGTGTGAACATTCACAACTATTGTGAATAAGAACAAATGTGAATATTCACACCTGTGTATGTCCTCTGTAATGATGTCATGTAGGCAATGTGAACATTCATGCACAAAATATGTGTATTATCGAATAATCAAGTTCAAACAATCGCATAAATTAACATAACAACACCAAATGTTGAACAAAATGCACACGTGGCATATTAGAACATTAATAGATGTCGTATCACTGATTTACAATCAATTGTTATTTGTCAAAATGTCAAAGCAATTGATATTACCATTCACATCGAGTGTTGGTCAGTTTGTAGGTGGACACCCTCTACCTATAGGTTTTAATGATGCTCTGTTTTCCTATGCTTCAACAAATTGTGTACTAATAAGTCTCGTAGTCCACACCATTCAGAACTAGTGAGGCTGCCAACAATTTCTTCATGGTATATGTGCGCCGGCATGATGTGACATACTGCAGGCCCGCAATCCACCCTGTAAATGCAAAATGGTTATGATTAGCACTTGACATGTATGTTTGCATAATGGTTATGGAGGATTTGTACAAAATGTTGTGAGACTTACGAGGTGTTGCCCTGCTGAGGACAGACAACAACTGATATGATTGGTTATGATGGATCTTGGCCTGCGAACTTAATCCATAGCGGTGATGACTTGCCAATAACACTTACAACGTTCTCGATGTACTCCCTCTGTTCTGTGTGGGGAATTTCACATTAGGCACCAACGAACATATGTTTGTGTACATTCATTTTGGAATTTAAGACAAGATAACAATTCATATTTGTATACAACATGAGCCATTTACAACTTCTTGTGCTTGGTCGACATACGGGTCATGTATGCTGGGCCTTGGTCGCAATGAGTTATAATGCCTCCACAAATTGTCTTTAGCATCATACACAACGATTGTCTAGTGGAAGTCATGGTGCAATGGAAATAGTAGGTATCTCTCTCTTTGGTAGTTTTTCACATGTGCATCAATGGGTTTACTTCTTTTGCGAGGAAGGTAATCTCGTATCACTTTCTACATACATTGGACAAATAATTAATGGACTGTGAAGTTTCACATTCACATTAGCAAAAATGGAACGTTAGAGATTTTACCAAATACATGCTCGTGAAGATGAATGAGGCTTCATCTGAAGTTGGGTTGATTGCCTCTTGTTGTTCATGTAATAGTTTGGCATATGCATCTATCAGCTGCACAAATATATGGTCGTATTATATTATTTGTGGTGGGTGAACAGTGTGTGTGTGTGTATTTGTGTCTATGTGTATATGCATGAACGGTGAGTCATTTTGGTAATAGCATACATTACTGTGTATCGATTCCTCTTTGATAAGGTACACGATGTCATCAAAATACACGTATGTAGACTTCGAGTCTCCTTTCCACACAAGCAACCTATGCATTTTTGGTAAACCAATGTGAATATTAACATTGCACATAATGGAATAAATCAAATCAATAAGCACATATGTGAATTCACAATTATGGAATGTGAATGTTCACATTACGTGTTTGTACGGTCACTTACTCATCGCCTCCATTCTTTTGTAAAGTCTGGACTTTTTGTTTGTCGTGTTTGGACATCATGCTTTAGACTTTGAATTTGTTGGTCAATGTCAATAATTTTTTTGAGTGCTTCGCTGGTGGATGTTTGTTGACATCTTCAACTACGTGGACTGTATGGGGTTGGTTTGGACCTCGATCATGCTCTTTTTTTGGCCAGCTAAGTCTGGGTACTGGAAGTCAGGCAAGCGGTGCTCTTTTTGATCTTTCTCCTTTGATACGCTTCACCATAGAAGGTGGGCTGAGATTGTGTTGCATTGGGGCGGGGGGTTGCTTCTGCGCCTCAGCCTGTGTGATAATGTGGATTGATTGATCATCGTAAATGTCCCAAAGAACTATTTTCTCGCATTCTAAGTCAATGACCAGTTGCGTTAAGCGCTTAATTTCTACATCTTTCTGCTCCATGCACTTTTTTATTTATTTATTTTAGTGTTCATGTTAGGTGGGCTTGACTGATTGAACAGTTTATCTTCAAGATCAGCTATCACTCTTGCCCTTAACTCCCACGAGAATTCAAGGTGTTTTTATTTTGCTTCCCACTGCCTTATGATGCCCTAAGCCTTCTAATTTTCTTTGACAAACATATCGATGATGTCAAGTTAGCTTGTGCTTGCTATGACAAATAGCTCTCTCATTAGGGGGGTTGCTAAAAGGAATGCGAATGTCCTCATTACTGTCATTTAGGTCAACTCCCTCCTTGGGAAATCCAGAGTTGCTACTATTATGTTGTTCTTCCTTCATGTTAGAGAGGTCGGGAGATGTGGTGGGTAGTTCATGACATTTGGGCTCTACCTTCAATATTGTACGCCTGAACTTTTGGAATTCTGTTGAGGTTGCGAAGAGTTTGCTAGCATTAACCTGAAATGAAAATGTTATGTTAGTTGAGGTACATATTTGGGTGGTGTCATGATGTGAATGTTTTGAACAAGAGTTGAAGGTCATACCTCATCAAAAACAAGATCAACCAAAGAGGTGGATTTCATCTTTTTCTGTAAAGTAGTTAGGTCTCACTTGACACAACGAAGAATGGCATTGGGCTTATGGGGTTGTAGGATGGTTGTGTGTTCACATAATCAGTACTTCAACAAAACAACAATGACATATGTTATTTATCATTTGCAGAGTAATGTCAACAGATATAAGCATTCATAGCAGTAAAGCACAAGTGAATATGAACATTCACATTAGTGAAATAGATATGAATGTTCACATTTGGAAGTGATGAACAACAATCAAGAACCTGTGAATGTTATTATTTGAGAACATGGGTACTTACCATTAATAACATGACACAGCCGGTGACTTTTGCCAGTTTTTTGTCATTTTGGGAAATAGAGGATGTCAGCGTTGTTCTAATTTGTTTGGCCCGATCATATGCTTGCATGTTTTCCAATGGGACCATATGTGCGTAATAGCCCCATCCTATTATTTCGCCGCTTGTCAAGAAAAAATAGTTTCTGGCAAGCATACATGCAGACTAGTCTAGCAACTTCTTCGTTGTCATCTTTCTTTTTGCCTTTCAATGCCTCGGTCAAAAGGGTTCGTATCCATTTTGAAGTTAACTGACTGACATTTTTGCACCTTTTGTTTATAATGCTAGTCTTTGGTTTTGCACCGTATGATATGTCCATTAGTTTGGTGCCAAAGTCCACCCTAAAATCAACTTAATGTCGTTGTCGTGTATGTTTATCTTCTTCTCTCCAATATAGAAGGCATCTTTTGAAGCCTTGTACATTTGTAGGAGATGTATAACAACATCATCGTACATCATGCATTTGTCAAGCTCGATCTCACCGTTTCTCAATGCATCTAATAAATGCTAGAAAGGTGTTTGCCGCAAGCAGCCGAGTTGTGCTTGTGTGAATTTGGTGCTTTTCATTAATTTCACTAGTTTGATCATGTTAGATTTGTAGCATGTCAACATTGCTGCTAATATTTGCATGTGGGCTTTCTTCCTTGACATGGTACTCACCTTTTTTTCGCTTTGAGGTTTTCTTCTATGCAATATCTAGAAAGTAGAGCATAAAATAAATAAATAAATAAATAAAATAAAAAAATTAAGACAAGGCTCATGTGTTTAGCATAGTGGCGCAGATGTGAACATTCACTGTATTGGCATAGATGTGAATGTTCACAGTTGTGTGTATGGATGTGAATATCCACATCTGTCCATGGATGTGGATGTTCACTGTGTCAGCAAAAACACAATGTCCATAGTGTGTGTGTGTAAAAATCAATGTATGTTTATAATTATTTTGTGAACATTCACAGTTCTAATTTGGATGACAATGTACATACTTACTATAATCGTGCAAAGTTAATTTAGTAGTACAACCTTAAAATTGAAATACAGTTTCAAACATGGGATAACAAAAGTGGTATATTTCCTCTAAACACAGTAGTGAATGTTCACAAAGTGTCTAATTAATTTACACATGTAATGAATGTTCACAACATAATTATATATCACAACAACATCTGACACAAAAAAATTTCATGTGAATGTTCACTATGGTTAACAACAACAATTTGATTGGCCAAACATTTTCAATACATGTGAATGTTCACCGCTTTCAACAAAAACTACAATAACATCAGAAACAATTTGATTGTCCAAACAATTTCAATCCATGTGAATGTTCACAACTTTTAACAACAATAATAACATCTAAAACAATTTGATTAGCACAATAGTTTTTAATCCATGTAAATGTTCACATCTTTCAACAACAACAACTGAAACAATTTGATTGCCCAACAATTTTCAATTTCATGTAAATATTCACATCTTTCAATAACAAAAACAACAACAATAACAACAACAACAACTGAAACAATTTGCTTGTCCAACAATTTTCAATTTCATGTGAATGTTCACAAAATTTCAACAACAACAACAACAACTGAAACAATTTGCTTTGCCTAACATTCTTTCAATCTATTTGAATGTTCACAG